TACAACCAAAATGAAATATAAAAGTATATAAAAAGAATGCAACCAAGACCCCCTGTTTACGAAGTGGATGCTCTAGCCAACTAAGCTACGAGAGCTTGTTGCTCTTTTGTTTCAGTTCAAAACAATTGATCTTTTGTTTTAGTACTATAGGTGAATTTGTTATAAATTCAAATATAGTTACAGATAGTAACCTTTTAAAAAGTATAGCTACGAATAGTAAATACAGTATATATGTTTGCTGCGTAAATTTTCCAAAAAATAATAGCACAACTGTGGTATAAATGATTCCGGAACTACTAACCCCGGAATCAAAAATTACACCAAACATGAAATAAATTAAATCCACGATTTCTTGCATCTCTTTCTTTTTTGGTCTTTCTTACCATTTCTGACTCTGCCACTATTTGTATTCCCCTTAATTTTCTTTCTCGCATCCAGACTGCATTAAAGAAGAGTTAGGAAAGGAGAAAGAAAGAACAAATTGGCAGCTTGTTTAATTAGTGTTTGCTTTAATTTTTCTGTTTTGGAAAGGATTGAGGCGATCCAATTGTTAGGAGGATAAGAAACAAATGTTTTTGGTGTGCTAGAAATTTTGACTTGAAAATCGAGATACTATTAGAAGGTTGAAGTTCGAAGACTCATCCAAATTCACCGACAATTTTTGAACTCATAAAACGTACAACAACAATAAACAACCACAACCCAGTAAAATCTCACTAATGGGATCTTGGGAGTAGGGGGGTCAATGGACATTTGAAAACCGACTAAATCGATCGAACCGTACCGCACCGAACCGATTTTTAGGTTTCTTTTAAAGAAACCGTAGGGTTTTATATAAATTTATAACCGTACCGATAATCAGGGTAGGTTTTTTATTTTATAACAATAAACCGAAAAAATACCGAACCGTACCGAATAAATTTTACATGTGAAAAATATATTTATATAGTAAGCTTAAAACTAATAAAGCATTAAATTTTTCAATGGGCCTTGAAATTATAAAAAGAGACTTTTTCCTTCCTATACCATATATGAAACCTTATTACCAAAAATGTGCATAGTTTCATATTTACCCGCCATGTTTACAGTTTTTCTACAATTATTATACCATTCATTAAATACTAATTATTAGGAGTTGATTCCTTCCTAATTCCTTACCAGTCTTTGCTTTTGACTGGTAAAGATTTCGTGCACCATCGAATAGCCGTAGATGCCCTTCATCCCTGTTTTATTTTTTCTTTATTGACTTTATGAAGCTGAACATTAAAGGAAAGGAAAAGATACTGAACAATTACTTTATATTGACTTTATGAAACTGAACATTACAATCAACATCTCAGAACAGTTAACTTTATTTATATCTTCATCATTTGTAAAAGTAATTTAGAAAATCTACGAAATCATTAGTAATTTGCCAGATCATTAATATAGAAAATTATCCAAATATCATATATATATATCCGACTTCTCTCTATATCTCTCTATATTTCTCAATCGCAAATTTCAGTAATACAAAGCAAATGAAAAGAGAGCATCAATTCTACCATTGACAGCCATTAAAAAGCTTGAAAGCTTTGAATTCAAATTTGGGTTTTCAAAAATCATTATTTGTTTGGATTGGGTGTTGTTGAAAATAATCGGGAATATGGTTTGGAGTTTATATCTCAATTTTGAGGGGTTTTGGTGAAGATTAGACTTGGTTTTGACTGAATTTCAAATTGAAACTCGAAGAAGAAGAAGAAGAAGAAGAAGAAGAAGAAGAAGACGACATATCGCAGAAATTGTAGATAAGTTGTAGATAAATTGTAGATTATTTGTATTCTAATTGTAGATGCTTTATTTTCTGTTTTCACAAATAAAAAACGGCTAAAACTTCTACAAATCTTCTGAAAAAACACAATTATGTCAAAAATCCCAATTATGCTACAATTGAATGGGAATTGGGATATAAAAATTCAATGTACCCAGTTTATAGATATTTTGTAGATAAATTATAGATTATTTGTATTCTAATTGTAGATGCTTTATTTTCTGTTTTCACAAATCAAAAACGACTAAAACTTCTATAAATCTTTTGCAAAAAACGCAATTATGTCGAAAATCCCAATTAAACTACAATCGAATGGGAATTGGGATATTAAAATTCAATATACCCATTTTGTAGATATTTTGTAGATGAATTGTAGATTATTTGTATTCTGATTGTAGATGCATTGTTTTCAATTGTAGATGCATTTTTACATTCCTATGCCACATAGGAATTTTTACATTCTTCAATTGTTGTCAAGAAGATGTAGTTGATACACTAATGTTGTGGTTCTTTTACTTTATGGCTTTGGACTAAAAGATAAACTGATTATTAATAATCCATAGTGGGAATATTAATATGTAATTAAATAAAGAAACAAACAAATATTTGTTTATCAAACTTAAGTTCAGATTTTATAAAATTAATACTCTCCATCACATGGTTGTACGTAGCCCAATGGTACGACTAGAATATAAAATAATTGTGATATCCGCTCTTCAATTTTCTACAAAATTTGAATTCTCGATCCATGAAAAGGTGTACGTATTATATTACTCAGCATTCCTTCGTCATTGTCATTTAAAAAAATTTATGAGCTGGACTCAATTAGGTGACATATTTTAATATGTTAACAAAAACTGCTCAAGGTAAGGATGCTAGCTTTTTAGGTTAAAATACACTATGGTATAGAATTGGTAATTTGGTATACTAAGTGTAATTAAGTCAAACCTTTAACATTGAGGGTAATAAGATTTCCTATGTGGCATAGGAATGTAAAAATTCCTTATAAAAACTGTTACAAGCCAACAAGTAATTAAACTCAAAATACTAGTTCCTAAAACCTATTATCCTACTTATACTTAAACTAAGTTATTTCAAGTATCTTTATTAGCAAGACACAAAGTATTCCAGCGATTATGAGTAGCAAACTATAATGTATTGAATATTTTTCCCTTCATATAATTTAGATTTATCTTTTTTAATATTTAATATAGATTTTATTCTTGAGTCCCAGCTTAATATCTTTCTGCTCGTGTGATTTATATTTTCTTTGCTTTTACTTGGTTTCTTTTACATTGTTGTCGAATAGTTGATATATCTATACTCTAGCCATCTTTCATGTTTTTTAATTCATCACCTTTTAAATCGTAAAAATGTCTAGAGAGTTTTGCTAAGTCCTATAAAAGAACGCATGTTATTGCATTCTACTTTTACTAGTGAATTTTACATGACATTTAAAAAAATACCGAAAATTAACCGAACCGTACCGATACCGAAGTGAAACCGACATGATTGGGACGGTTTCGAAAAGTCTAATTTTGGTTATGCATAATAGAATAACCGAAAAATTGGTATGGTACAAATTTTATAAAATAACCGGCCGAACCGAACCAACTTGGGAGGATAGTGTGTGCGCTGACCTTACCCCTACCCCAAAGGAGTAGAGAGGCTGTTTTAGAAATACCTTCAGCTCAAGAAAATAAAAAGGCAAAAGGAGACAATATTAGTATCACCACAGAAATTATAAGAAAAATAGGAATAACATAAAACCCAGAAGAAAGATGCAAAGCAAAAGCGCACTCATAAAACGTGTGGAAATAAAATTAGTTAGATAGAGTACTTGTTTTCGGCTTCTCCTTATCCATATTTGTCTATGAATCATATTGTTTGTTTTTTTCTCAAAAGGAAATAATTTATTTCATTTTAACAATTAGTTGTGTTGTATTAGTTGATTTCCTTAAGAATATCAAGTCGAAATACTAAAAATAAGAGTTTTAAGTTATGTACATGAATAATACTTAATTTTTAATGGTACTAAATTAAGTTAATAATAACTTGCAACAACAAGTAGCGGTTCCTAAAAAATCTGAGAAATAAAATGATTTGTTTGATATAACCAATTAAACTCCGTTAATAATATAAATATTTTCTATATAATCGAATGTGTACCACTTAAATTATTTTAAAAATATTGAAGAAAAAAGGAGTTGGGGATCGAGTGAAGGTAGATAAGATAGTGTTTCGAGTGACTAAAATCTGCGGATATTGATCAATTTTTTCTTTCAAAAATTAATAGACAAATGTATCAACTGGATAAAAATATAGGAGCAAAACTGATCCTAATATTGTTGATGATTGCAGATTATTAATATTATTTAAGCTCGATACTCAACCTTAATGTGTGCTCAAACAAACATACATACATAAGATTTAGCTAGATTTTTAAATTTAAAAGTTATATATTTATGTCCGTTATGCAGAGTTATTTGATTTCCGTCGGTATATTTGTTCTTTTATAAGGTACTTGCAATCTACCCCTGCTTTGCACATTCACTTGGTACATACTCGTGCTTTATACGACCACTTGAAACATACATATACTTTGCACGACCACTTGGAATCTATTCGTGCTCTGCACGATCACTTGGAATCTATCTGTATTCATCACGGTCACTTGGAACCCACTTGCGTTCTGCACGGTCACTTGAAACCTACCTGTGCTCCACACAGTCAATTTGAACTACCCGTACTCTATAAAGCCACTTGGAACCTATCGATACTTTGCAAGGTCCATTTGGAACCTACCTATGCTTTATACGGCACTTGGAACCTACCCATGCTTTGCATGACAACTTAGAACTTACCCATGCTCTATTTGGCACTTGGAACCTACCCGTGCTCTGCACGGCCACTTGAAATCTACTTGTGCTCAACAAGGCTCTTAGAATCTACCCGTGCTCTGCACGGCTCTTGGAACCTACCTGTGCTTAGCACGATCACTTGAAATTTACCCGTGCTTAGCACGATCACTTAAAATATACCCGTGCTCAGCACCACGGTCAGTTGGAACCTACCTGTGCTTTACAGGGCCACTTGAGACCAACCCGTATTATGCACTTTCACCTGAAATTCTAACGTACAAGCAAGCTATTGCATGAAATTCTAACGGAATAATTAATGAGACCCATACTTACATGTAAATCCATAATTGCATACGTGCACCTTTCTCTACTATTTTAACTAGTATACAGTATTATCTCATTTCTCGTTTATCCTAAGCTTTAAACAATAAAAGAACATTTTACACTTCTATATACAACTTTAGCTCCTTTTCACTGGCAAAATCTCAATTCAAACCCCACCAGTTCTTGCCAAAAAAATTAAAAAATACCTTTTGTTAAAAAAATAAAATAAAAAAACCCTGTTTTAACCCAAAAAATGGGGAAATTGCTAAAATTAACTTTAAACCCCACGATTAATCATCTCCATATACTGCTGTAGTGACTGTTCTCTCTGCAACCTCATTTCTTCATTGAACTTCGATATAAACGATTCTACTCGCCGGTTCAACTCGTCCTGACTCGGCGACGGTTCAAGTACGGTTTTCCTCTTGTTTTCAATTTGAACCGGAGATTGACTTCCATGATTCTGCTGCCACGTGTTCAGGTGCCTCGTGAGAGGCACGTGACGACCTTCTGTTATCTTCTTCCATGTGCTCTCTAATGTCTCATGTCTCTTCACTCTTGCTACCCTCAGCGATTTCACCCCTGTTATTCCAATTATTTACAGAATTAACCTTAAAAGTTTTTAAACTCACTGACAAAAGAAAATTGATATTTTTAAAATATATGACTTAAACATACTAGTAATATATAATATTTATATAACGATAAAGAGAATTATTCAAATATAAAAATATGTATGATTCATTTGTACGGACGAATAAGAAAATAATACAACATGAAGAATATAAAAGAGTAATAAAGAGGAGTATAAATTTTTAGAACTATAAATTTGTAGCAGCTTTCAAAATAACAGCGATAAAATATATACTTTTGGTATTAATATAATATACATATTTTATGAGAAATGTATAGTATTTGTTACCTTCAGGATTCATTCTCGTAAGCGGTTTCCGGTGACCGAACCGGGAAGAAACCAGCGGTTTCTCCGTCGCTAGCTGTTGAAGAAGCTCCGTTTCCACTTCAGGCAACGGCGTAACAACGGAATTCGAAATCACAACCTGATCATCATTTTCAACTTCAACCACCTGCTCCGGTTCAATATTTACCGGCACAGTCTTCACCTCTAACACCTCCGGTTCAGGTGATAACTCAGACATCTCCGGTTCAATCATGTTGGCGTTTGTCTGGGAAATTGCGATCAAATCTGAGGGCGGAAGTGATCTCGCAGAAATCGACGGCTGTGATTCACCGCTAGAATGTTCCTTCCGGTGTGATCGAGAAGTAGCGACGATCATGATAATTATACAGTTGAGTACAACGTAGAGGTAAGGAGGCTTGAGCCAACTGGAAATCAAGCTGCTCCAAACCGTAGGAAATTCATATATAACGAACGGAACAGAGGATTTAACGAGCATAGCTGAAGATACAGCGCCAACTGAAATTAACAGAACTTTCATTGATAACATTAAATTGCTCGTTGATGGTGCCATATTTGTAAGTTTTTGGCTATGTGGTGTAATTTTGCAAGCTGAAATGGTTATTAATTTGAGAATTGAGAGTGAAGAAGAGGAGAAAGAAGATGGAAGTGCAGACTATAGAAATAGTGTTGGGAGAGAGGAGTATAAATAAAAGATGGATGGCTGAGGACGCGTGTTTGTGGAATAAGATGAAATCTGAGCCGTTCAATTAGGTAAAGAAAGTAGGCTAGACGAGTTTGGCTTCTTACAAATTGTTTGGATTGTTGTTACCTATTGTATTGAATACGAGGTTTGTTTTGGTTGTTAGTAAACTTTTATTTAATCGTATCGTTAATTTGGTCGTTATTTAATGATGAAATGTATCACTTTATGTAACGATCGATTTGGTGTGGTCGTGCCGTTACCTAATCTTTTTCTCTCAGAATTATCCTTCATAATTAAATAATTTTATCTTATCATTTATCCTATATTTTCATATAATAATTATACCCCGTATCATAATTTTTCTTTATAGTATTGCAAGTTTATTCTTCATATTGTTGGTGCCTCATATCATGAAACGACGTCAAACGATATAATCTATCCAAATATTGTATTCATCAAACAATACAATACATTATGAAACAATATGTAACAACCATCCAAACAAGCTGTTAGTTCATGTGAACGCATAATACATATATATATATATATATATATACACGCACACACACACACATCTAAAATCTTAACAAATCTTATAATTAAACCTATAATTTTAACAATGCAATGAATTTTATGCTAAAAATCTTAAGAGTTGAACTCATTAAATTTATTTTTCGGATCCCCTTTCGTATAATTGGTACTTATTATTTTGGCACCCAACTAATTTAAAATCAACTTAATAAATTTCACTTTGAATATGAAGTGTTTCGATTAAAGACAACTTCATGCGTAGTACTCAAATCGAAACTCCTAAGGCTCGTTTGATATAAGTGATAAAAGATAATTAATTACGGGATTAAATTTGAAATATGCTTATCCCACCTTTGGTTGGGATAAAATCATAGTATAACTAATTTTTAAATTAATTATTTCGGAATTAACTAATTCATTAATCATAAAATAATTTGTTTCCCAACCAGACCATCCTTGGATTGAAAGAAGTACTTATCACCTTATGATAACGTTTGAGTCGTTTGAGTTTGAGTTTGAGTTTGACTTTGAACTGAGAGGGAGTAGAGTTGCCACGAATCAATTATGGTAGTTGATTAAGGATAATTATTACTTGTATGTTACTTCATGCATGGAATTTGGTGTACTAATCTTTTTATTACTAATATAGCTTACCTACTGTACCAAATTATGACATATAATTGTCATTTAGATGATATGATTATATTATAAAGCATGTACATTGTTGTAAGAGTAAAATTTGCATATACATATATTTATCAGTGGTTAAAACTAAACGATTACTTTCTTCTATTTTTTAAGTATTTCTGCTTTATTAAAATGTGACTTATATAGTTTTATTTGGGTTTAAATAAGAAAAAAGTAAGTAAATTTAGCATCAAATGGTTACTTTGATTCTTTTGGGCAGAGCTATTTAGCTTTGAGGTGAGAGGGAGTAGATTTGCCACGAATTAATTATAGTAGTTGATTAAGGATAAGTTTTACTTGTATGTTAGTTCATGCATGGATTTTAGAGTATTTTCTTATTACGCTAATATATAGCTTAACTATTGTATCCAATCATGATATATAATTGTCTTTAATTAGATAATATGATAGTATGAAACATCACTAATACGTTAAAACAAATTATTTGTAAATTATTTCAAACTTTAAGCTTTTCATTATACTTTAATGACGTGATAGTATTGTATACGGTCAAAATCGGGATGCCCCTTTTTGTTCAACTGACCAAGGCTGGAACGTGGTAGATCAAGTTTGGACCTCGATTTTTATCTATGGCGCGGGGTTAAGTTATCGAGACCCTGGGACCGATTAAGTTCGAGGTCGACCAAGATCGAGATCAAATAAGATGGAGATCGAAGCTAAGTCGAGTAACAGAAAACCGAGATATCCGGGATCGGCCAAGGATCGTGGCGAGAATCTCGGCACCAATCAAGTCAAAACCGGTTGTTCAGCCAATCATGGGATTTCCTTCTGTAATTAGAGTTATACCATAATTAGGATTCCTCTACTTTATAAAGAGGAGTTCCAATCACTTGTAAAAGACTACATTCACGAATATCAAAGCAATATAATATTTCTTTCTTCTGCTCATCAACTTACTGCTCTTTAACTGTTCTTACTCTACCAAGCTCGAGGGTTCATTAGCTCGAGGGCATTAACAAAATACTGTTTTGCTTTGTATTATTGTCAATTTGCATCATTTATCTTTACGCTTATCAATTGGTATTAGGTGGAATCACATATCCTTAAAATCACATTATATTAATTGTTACTCAACTTTTAGGGTAAACAGTTTGGCGCCCACCGTGGGGCTAAGGGTAATAGTGGTTGCTTAATGTTTTAGCCTTCGTAAAACACATTGCTTTTACGCTTGTTCTTGTGAGTATTTTTTGATTTCAGGAATCAACATGTCAAACTCTCAAGCAGTACCACTCACACTGACACCAGCCTTGGCCTTCACGGCGAAAACGAGCACGTAGTCGCCCCGGGAAACGGAGTACCTCCAATCAATCCCGACGCACCACAGGCCGTGGATCCGGTTGATGTCAATTCTCATGTCGCCGTTCGTGGAGATTTAGGCGCCGACCCTGAAAAAAGCGTCCGCAGAGATACTCGAGCAGCTGATCGGAACACGCAAAATGGTGAAGAAGGCGGAATTAGCCTTCGAATGATGTTTGACATGCTACAAACTTAGCAAGCCGCTATAGCGCAACTACAGAATCAACATCGAGCACCAAGTGGGAGCGAACCAGAACCCGAACCAAAAGCTGTTCGTAGGACCGAACTTATACCGGAGAGATCAAACGCCAATGATTTGGGGGCTGACCCCGCCATTATGAAGATGCTCGAAGAACACACAAAACGGATCGAATCGAATCGAAGGAGAAGAAGATTGAGGAAAACGACAAAAGGGTAGAAGCGTACAACTCCCGAGTTGATTAAATTCTGGGGGCACCACCGATATTGGAAGGACTAGATTCTAAAAAGTTCGTGCAAAGACCCTTTCCCCCTAGTGCGGCTCCGAAACCGATCCCCAAGAAGTTCCGCATGCCCGAGATTACCAAGTATAACGGGATGACCGATCCGAATGAACACGTCACCTCGTATACGTGCGCCATCAAAGGAAATGACTTGGAAGATGACGAAATTGAATCCGTACTGCTGAAGAAGTTCGGGGAGACTCTATCGAAGGGTGCCTTAACATGGTATCATAACTTACCCCCTAATTCTATTGATTCGTTTGCTATGCTTGCAGATTCTTTTGTAAAGGCACACGCCGGAGCCATTAAAGCTGCAACGAGGAAGTCGAACCTTTTCAAAGTAAGGCAGAAAGATAACGAGATACTCAGGGAATTCGTATCTCGGTTCCAAGCGAAGAGAATGGATTTGCCTCCGGTCGCCGATGACGGGGCTGTTCAAGCTTTCACTCAAGGTCTCAACACTCGGAGTTCCATAGCTTCACATCAATTGAAGCAAAGTTTAATCGAGTACCCGTCTTTCACTTGGGCCGACGTACATAATCGATATCAGTCGAAGATCAGGGTCGAGGATGATCAACCGGGGACTCCTTCGGGGTCCGTTTATCCCAGAAGGCCCATGGATAGGATTAAAAGGGACATCGATCGAGATCCGAGGCCGAATAGAGATCGATATCAACCGTACATCAGAGACCGTAGGGGCAGCGAGTCTGGGCGAAGCTTCGCACGAAATGAGAGGAGAAATGATCGAGGTCAAAATTCACGGGGGGTTGATGCTGAGGAAGATCGCGTTAAATATCCAAAATCGGAATGAAGGTACGACCCCATTCCAATTCTTTCTATTTTTTTGACTAAACACTTGCATGCTATCAACAAGGATCGGCACGAAGCTTTGGATCATAAAGCACACGTTGCACTCTTTTTCCCTTAGACCGATTTTTGCCGCAATGGGTTTTTCCGGCGAGGTTTTTGATGAGGCAACCATTGTTCGTGCTAACTTAGATCAATTCAACAGTATCCGAGGTTCCCTATAATAAGCCTCGAGTATTGGGGCGCATTACCCTCGAATGTCTACTTTGTTACAAGGAAATTACCTCGTGACAACGGGTTCTCGATAGGAAAATATTATAAGGGTCAAACGGTCAAATGAACCGTGCCCATATAGATTACTCGAGCCCTAACATCAAACACGCACACATGTATGATCATCTATTGAGAAGAGTACTTTTCCTTGCCGATATCTCATGCCTTTAGAAAAATTTCCTACTTCATAATCTTGATCTATTGTGCAAACATGCTTAAGGGCCGATCATGACGAAAGTTCGAACAACTAACCCCACGCTTGAGGACTGCCGTCCGAAAAACAAACGAAATCGAACTACTAAAATTTTGAGACCATAAGACCTTAAAAGGCGAGCCTCAATTTTATAGGCCACGGCCACCCCACCGGGGACTGAAACTTTAAGCAAGCTCGAGGTGAAACGGAAAATAAGCCCAAAGGGCAAGTTCCAAACTAAAGAGGCTACAGCCAAACTAACGCGGATCGGAGACGTCCCAAATCCGTAACAAATATAAAGGCCTAATGGCTACTTCTACTTCGAGTTTGAGCAAGTCCTCACTCGATCATAAAGCCCAAGGGCTATCTTAACCGGAGTTCGAGAAAACTCTCACTCGGGGACTATCTATAGAGCCTAAGGGCTAAACTTTACTTCGAGTTCGAGCAATCCTCACTCGACTATAAAGCCTAAGGGCTAACTTCTACTTCAAGTTCGAGCAAGTCCTCACTCGATCATAAAGCCCAAGGGCTATCTTAACCCGAGTTTGAGCAAACTCTCACTCGGGGACTATCTATAAAGCCTAAGGGCTAAACTTTACTTTGAGTTCGAGAAAATCCTCACTCGACTATAAAGCCTAAGGGCTAACTTCTACTTTGAGTTCTAGCAAGTCCTCACTCGATCATAAAGCCCAA